GTCCCATGGTGGGGGGGGGGGGCGTGTTGTCTTGACTAAATTTAGATTCTCTGCCTCCAGGCTTCCAGTATGGAGTTCTTTTGACCAGGGGCTTTCTTTGTCCTGTTGATCCATTCTAGGAATTCCCAGCAAGTGGTCTTTTTTCCAGAGGGGGTTCTATAAATATTAATTCATCAGCAGCCTCATCATGGTACAGTGGCAGCCATGCGGTCCTATGACTAATTAATTACTGTTGCTAAAATATTAAATAACTACTCATTATGCAGTCTAAAGACTTTCAGTCCTGGATATGTGCTATTTTCATGAATTGTGATGAAGGGCAATAGTTCCTGGGCACCTTGACTACTGATCTTGAAATATAAACAGTAAAAGTGTAGGAGAATTTTCTCTGAGCTGTACAAGATAGTTATGTAGATCCTCAAACCTAAGCATTTAAAAATTGTGATGGTTGCCATTAGGTTTGGAAGTTGTGAGCAAAAGAAATCAAGAGGTGTCTTTATAGCCAAAATAAGGAAGAGGGGATTGTAGAATGAGAGATCTGGGTTCATATCCCAGGTTGGATGTTTACTGGCTTTGAGACTTTGAACAAAGTATCCAACTGGGCCTTGGTGTCTCCGCTGAAAGTGGGACTAGTAATATACTACCTCTCTCAGAGGGCTGTTAGGAGGATTTGATGAAATGGCCATTCTTTCACGTTAGCCTGTTTCATTATTATTTTCATGGCACTGATCTGCTCCAAACTGCTAGACTTGTCATGTTGCTTCTTGTCTATCACTCAGAAGACTTTTTTGCCCTGCTCAATCCGGTAACCGCACACCAAGAACACTGTCTGACACATCAGTAATCAAGAAATATTTGAGTGAATCAGAGAAGGACAGCCATTTCCCTGTGGAAGATTTTTTTGCATGTTAGATTAGCTGTCCAGGTCTTGGAGAGTAGGGAGTCAATTTTTCATATATTATTTCAGATATATTTTATCTCCATTTTACATACTTTCCAGGATTTGACACATACTAGTGGCTTAACAAACGCTTGAGGAATACATATTATGAAAATGAAATTAACAGCCATTGTAAGGAGCATGAGGTTGTAGCTATAGTACAATGTATATGAATTATTTATTTGGGAGGGAGGCAGTGCAGGATACAGCCAGCTATGGGTTCAAGTCTCCATCCTGCCAGTTCCTAATCAGGTGTGAGTCACTTAATTCTGAGCCTCAGTTCCTTGTAAAATGGGGATATTAATGAGTACTCTGAAGGGTGTTATGATGGATAAATGAATGGATGTACCCTCACTCTTAGGTGCTCAATAGCTTTTATTTTTTAACTTTTTGCTTTTTTCAAAAATAATGCATGCTCTAGGAAGAAAACTTGGGAAACATTCCAAAGCAAAAAACCACAAATTCTCTAGTCACCTGTAAATGCACTGCTGAGATTTATCAGGCATGACACCTTCCCAGACTTTTATTCTACACCTATAGTCATGCATGCATGCAATTTGAAAAATGCAATCATACTACAAACACAATTAAACTTCAAAACTTCCTTACTATTTTGGCCGGATTTTTTCCATTTAGCAATATATCGTGAACACTCTCTTGTGTCAATATTCTTCATAAACATTATTCTGGATGTTTCATCATAATCCATCTTATGGATATGCCGTCATTATAGTTAACCAATCCCATATTGTTGGACATTTAGACTGATTATAATTTTCCCTGTTATAAACAATAATAAGATATATATATAATCTCCTTAACTATGGATCTCATTATTTCCTTCGGACAACTTCCTCAAAGTTGAATTGCTGGATCAAGGGGTAATGCATCTTGATGTTCTTCTGATTCTTTCATTTACTTATTCTTTATTAAAACTTTATTTTTTAGAGCAGTTTTAGGCTCACAGCAACATTGAGAGGAAGGTACAGATATTTCCCATGCGCCCTCTGCCCCCACACATGGGTAGTTTTCCCCATTATCAGCATCTGGCACCAGAGTGGGACATTTGTTACAGTCAGTAAACCTACACTGATACATGATCGCCCAAAGTCCATTGTTTCCATCAGGTTTCACTCTTGCTGTTGTACATTTTATGGGTTTTGACAAATGTATAAATGACATGTGTCCATCATTACAGTATCAGACGGTATATTTTCACTGCCCTAAAAATCCTTTGTGCTCTACTTATTTATGCCTCCCTCCTCCTAACCTCTGGCAACCAGAGAGCTTTTTATTGTCTCCATAGTCTTGCCTTTTCCAG